TTCCGGAATCCATATTTAAAAAAACAAAAACAATAAACTGATTACGGTAATGAGGTGTAATCAATCCCAGTGCTGGTGAAGCAGAGGTAGTGTATTCCTGAGGCTCCCTCCCAGCCAGTCTAGACTAACTAGCCAAATGTCACTGTGTCAAAGAACAAGGTGGACAGCTCCTGGGGAATGACCCTGAAGTTGACCTTTGGCTTCCACATTCAAGCATATACATGTGCCCTACAAGTGTACACATTCACATATGCAAGCACATAAAGTACCCATTCCTTAAAACTCAGCTCCAATGCTCTCTTCATAACATTCTGTAATTGTCCCAGAAATCTCCTTAATCTGTGTAGCAACATTTCAGAAACATCTGCCTTAGAGAAAACCACCAGTACCATCTCTTTGAGTATGATAAACTCCCTCCCACAGAGAATGGGTATTATTATATATGCCTTTGTGTTCTTCAGGGTATCTTGCATATTGCTGTCTAATAAATAACTTTAATAATGAATAAATTCTAGACACATAAAACTGCTCATTTATATCTTCCTTCTTTCCAAATGATAAAGTTTGCACTAAGAAAAAGCTATGCTTCCTATTTAATTTCTTTTTCAGTTTCTTATTAAGAGCCAGGTAGTAGCTGGTGCATGCCTTTAATACCAGTGTTAAGGAGGCAGAGGCAGGCAGATCTATGAGTTTGAGGGCGGCTTCAAAGCTACAGAGAGAAAACCTATCTAAAAAACAAAAGAACTGGGACATTCTCAAAGACACTGATAAGGTCAGATAGAGATCAGATCAACACTAAGATAAAAACAGTAACTAAAACCTGGATGGTGTTGACACATTCCTTTATTTAATCCCAGGAACAGTTAAGACTACACAGAGAACCCAGTCTCAAAGAACAGAAGAAAAAAAGAAAGAAAAATAGTTAAGACTGTAAAATTTGTATGTCAATGAAATACAGGTATGGTAAACAGTAAAATATAGGGGTGGGGGGGAAGACACACAAAACAAACAAACAAACAAACAAAAAAAAAAAAAACAGCAGAGGATGTGAGCAATAATACCAGAAGAATGGATGAAGCTTATCAAAAAAGATTCTGGTTTGACAATCAGGATACTGTCAATGCTCTTACACTTGATAGCATCAAGGTAACCAGGCAAATTAAGGAAACCAAAGAGCTACAGAGCAGCACATAGGCAAAAGCCTGAGAACAGAAGCAGAGCACTGGCTAAGTTTACACAAGAGATACAAACTTTCTTATAATTAGAGACTTGAGGGGAAAGGGAAAAGAAAAGAGGAATAGCTGAGCAGAGAAACATGCCACCAAGTCTTGGGGGGGGGGGGACAATGAAGGCTAAAAGAGAACAAGTGAAAGGTGACTTGAAAAAACACAATACAGAGAAACTAAAAAAAAAAAAAAAAAAAAAAAAAAAAAAAGTGTGGTATTGACCAAGAGAAATATAGGTCTAAATTGCTAGATAATGTGCTAAAAACTGAGAGGTGGAAAAAAATGTTTAAACAGATGCTGTTTGGAATAGGATAATCAACTGGAAATAAAGAAAATGAGCACTGAGCCCAGCTAACACTGCAAAAGAAAAAGAACAGGCAAAATTAAGTGTCAGAAGTAATCTAAAATAGATCAAAGGGCACTATCAGATTTCTAGAAATGTCCTACAGGTAGACTGTGTAAGGAAAAAAATAGAAAGTACCCTAGTGATAAGGGGTCAGACTTAATTCCCCTAACCAGTTGATAAGTGTATGTCAAAATATTACATATCTTTCTATACTCAAAAGATTTCCAAGATCCAATAACAGTTCACTTGGTCTAACCAGAAAATAAAATCTCAAAATAAAATTCCAATATAAACGCACTCTAAGAATTTCACATTAAGTTTCTTTTTGGTTTTTCTTTCTTTTTTAAAGATTTATTTATTTATTATATATAGTGTTCTGCCAGCATGTATGCACACACGGCAGAAGAGGGCACAGGATTTCATTATGGATGGGTGTGATCCACCATGTGGGTGCTGGGAATTGAACTCAGGACCTCTAGAACAGCAGCCTGTGCTCTTAACCTGAATCATCTCTGGTTTTGTTTTTTTTTGGTTTTTGTTTTTGTTTTTTGAGACAGGGTTTCTATGTATTACTTTGGAGCCTGTTCTGGAACTCACTCTGTAGAGCAGGCTAACCAAAAAAACTCAGAGATCCACCTGCCTCTGCCTCCTGAGTGCTAGAATTAAAGATGTATATCACCCACCACTGCTGGGCTGATTATTACTTTTCAATATGTATTCAAAATTTGACCTTACAACAAAAGAAAAAAGTTCCAAAAAAAAAAAAAAAAAAAAAGATAGGTGAATATTTGACAACTGAGGTGCAGATAACAGAATCAAATGTCTGTTTATTATGTCCATCACATTGTAAGTTCCATCTTAAACTACAAGCTAGACCTGGTGTTACACATCTTTCTAGTCTATCTATATTAGGAGTACCAAGGCCAAACAAAAACTACAAAGAACTCCTAAAAAATAAACAAATCATACTACATTAATACTCATTTGCTTTTCCCATGGTAATTATTTCACAAGTTCATCAAAAACTCTGCAATATATTTGACATCTAACTTCAGAGTCTTATCTTTTACAGTATTTTGTTTTGGTTTTTTGTTTTAAAGACAGGCTCTGACTAATAGCCCTGGTGACTGGCCTAGAATTCAGAGATCAGCCTGCCTCTTTAAGAATGTTGAGATTAAGCTGGGCAGTGGTGGTGCAGGCCTTTAATTCTGGCAGAGGAAGTAGGATCTGAGACCAGCCTGGTCTACTCAGTGAATTCCAGGACAGGCTCCAAAATACAAAGAAACCTGTCTCAAAAAGAAGAAAAAAGAAAAAGAATTTTTGCTACACTATTATGGAAAACAAAGCAGAATAGAGATAGTAATATCATCTGTGAATTAGTCTATATATAATAATGTAGTCTGAGTTGGTTCCAAAGTCACTACTTAATCCAGTTTAGGCTAGAATTCATGATCTTCCTGCCTCAGTGACCTCCATATTAGGAATGACCTACACCCCCAGGCCCAGCTTCACCTGTTTTTTCTTTTTCTACTTGTTTGTTTTCTGTTTTTCAATACTGGGCAACAGCCTGCATGTATAACAGCCCTGATTGTCTTGGAACTTGTTTTATAGACCAGGCTGGCCTCAAACCCACAGAGATCCTCCACTGCCCAATGGTTTTCTTAAAGGAACAGGCACAGAGGTTCTAGTGCTTTAGTGCGTTGTATATTAAGCACATTCACTGTTTTTAAGCATTTTACAGAATGCATCTTATCACAATAGCACTATGAAAAATGGTACTGATAACTTCATCCTCCTAAAGGAAGAAGCTTGGGCAGAGGTTAAGGAACTCAAAGTCATGAAGCTCTTAAGAGACAGAAATTCCGATGGGTGTGGTGGCAGACAAGCAGATCACTACTGAGTTCAAAGCCACCCTGCTCTACAGAGCTAGTTCAAGGACAACCAAGGCTACAGGGTGAAATCCTGTCTTAAGAAACCAAGAGATAGCCGGGCACTGGTGGCACATACTTTTTGTCCCAGCACCCAGAGGCGGATCTCAGTGAGTTCAAGGCCAGCCTGGTCTACAGAGCTAGTTCCAGGTCAGGCTCCAAAGCTACACAGAGAAAACCTGTCTCAAAAAAAAAAAAAAAAAAAAAAAAAAAAGGCAGAAATTCAGTGTTTTTTTTTTTAAAGGACTCACCAGGGTGGTGATGCAAATCTTCAATCTCAGCACAGACAGAGGCAGGAGTTGAAGAGTTTGAGGCCTGCTGGGTTATACATCAAGTTCTGGCAAGATGGGGCTAAAGAGACCCTGTCTTTGGGGGTGGGGTTGGGGGCATTTTCTATTTCATTATTCATCCACAAAACCTGAATTCAGTGTTTATTTTCCCTCAGGTAATCACTACCCCTATTTCAGTCAGTACTTTCAGGGCAGGATTCTTACTAAAAACACAAACATAGCTCAAACTGGACCCTTACCTTCCTCACTCCTTTCCTAACTTTTTAACAGAATTTGCACCCCCCTCCCGGGCCTTTCTTGGTACTTAAAACTTTTCAATGTCTTCTCTGTTAAGAAAAACTTTCCTACAAGCTAAAACGACGGTAGCACTTCATCGGGTGTCCCCTGATTGCTGCAAGGGGAGTCGGGGCTTGGGAGACAGTTCCTCCAGGAACAAAAAGCGTGGCAATACGATCAGGAACGAGAGAACTGGAGGGAAGGGGTACCATGCAGAAAAGGGAGAAAGGGGGTGGAGTGGGAGGCACTGCTATCTGGCTCGCATTTCCTGGAGGCAGAGTGAGAACAGAAATTAAGGAACCGGGGGAGGGGGGTAGTGTCCTAGTCAAAACCTGCTAGGTAGCATTTTGTCGAGAATTTTCCTATTATGTCTGACTCTCGCTTCGGAAGAAACGAGACCTTAAGAGTCACAATGGCTGGGCCGCTGATGGGCCCGGCGACACCGCTCTGGCTCGCAGCCCCGGTTGGTCCCTTGAAAGCATCCCTCCGAGTCAGCGGGAGGAACCACCGGAGCCTCTGGAGCCCGCGGCCAGGGCCCGGCGTCGGGGCGCTCGGCTCGGGGACAGCCGCCCCGGGTCCCTTCCGGTAGACAACCCTGAAACACTCTCACATCTCGCCGCTCACTCGGAGCCCGGTCCTTCCCCAGCATCTAAACCCGTCGGTCGCGAGCAGAAACCCGGCTGGAGACAGTGGCTTACCTTTAACAGATTAGACGTCGCCATGTTCCTTCAACTTGGGTCTCTCGCGAGACGCGGCGAGACTTGGCGGCGCTCGGGGCCAGGCCTCCTCGGGAGGCCGGAGTTCCCAGCAGGGCCCCGCGGGCCGCGGCAGAGATGCGGGGGGCGGAGAAGTGGGGGGGGGGGCACACACGCCCAAGCTGCGTGCCGTCAGCGCTGAGCTCGTCCCCGGCACCCGTGCTTCCTCAGGCTTTCCTGCTACATGGTATCCGGGGCCTGCTCACGCGAGAGAGCGCATGCAAAGGCTCAAGGAGACGCGAGCAACGAATGGTTAAGGGACCGGGAGCCGACCTGGCCGGGAAAAGGTAGCATCTACCTCCCCGGGCCTGCCGCACTCGTCTCCGGGTGAGCCTCTGGGGTTGCACTCGCGGCGGCCGCCGGCAACGACTTTTAACTCGGCTTAGGCCCGGCACCGCGGGTTCCGTGGTGGCGTCACGTGACGCTGCGGGCGGGGGCGTGCTTGGGAGCAACCGAGGAGCCTGCAAGCCGCTGGTCCCGAGGCAGAGCGGAGGGTGCGAGCGCGCCCTCTATTGGCTGGAGCCGGCGCCGCCCCCACCCACTCGCCCCAGATCCCGGGATGGCGATTCGGAGCTCTGGATTAGATTAGCCTGGGAGGGTTTTTGCTGCTGTGCTCTGTACAGACTGACCTGGAAAAGGCGCCCAGTAAATACTTGTTTAGTGGATGAATGTACAGACGTGTTAACTAACATCACTGTGCTCCAAAATGCCCCGGCTTGTTTTAGAAGCGGGTATTAATTTTGGACTCCTTAAAATATATCCTAGACCTAGAGCATCCGGTACTGTTTTCTCCAAACTGTGTCACTTCAAATCACGAATCTCTAAACAAAGAGAATGTAGTTTATATAGGGAGCTCACAGGTTAGCTGTTATATTGCATTATGCAAATTCCTAACAGTGTCCTTTTGGGGGGTTATTTGTTTGTTTGGGGTGGGTTTATTTATTTTGGTTTTTAGAGACAGGTTTTCTCAGTGTAGCTTTGGTGCCTGACCTGGCACTCAATCTGTAGACTAGGCTGGCCTTGAACTCAGAGATCCCCTGCCCCCCTGAATGCTGGGGTTAAAGGCGAGAACCAATACCACCCGGATGCTAACAGCATTCCTTTGTACTTTAATAAAGTATTCATGAGGCCATCTATTGCTCTCAGGCCAGATTTCCTTCAGACAGACAAGATCTCTTCTTGAACCTGAAACTAGGCTAGTGGCCAGCAAGCTCCATAGATCCTTAAATTTTATTTATTTCATTTATTTCTTTACTTATTTTTGGTTTTCCAAGACAAATGTTTCTGTGTAACAGCTCTGGCTATCTGGGACTCTCTGTAGACCAGGCTGGCCTTGAACTCAGAGAGATCAACCTGGCTCTGCCTCCCAAATGCCGGGTTTAAAGGCATGTGCCACCACTGCCTGTCAAAATTTACATATTTTTAAATTACTGTTTGCCAGGCCTGGTGGGAAAGGCCTGTAAGTTTACAGGAGACTAAGGCAGGAGGATTGTAGGATCAATGCCCTTATGCTACCGTTGTGCCCAAATTCTGAACCTACAAATCAGCAGGAGACCCATTTTGATACAAAAGCAAAGAGTCTTTTATTATTTAATGAGTTAACTGTATTTAGTTATTCCAACTGTCCAACACAGGATGGGGCCTCAATGCAGGGATTTATTGGGTAGAACAAGGGGAGTGTCTAGGGTTATGCAACAGTCTCAGAAAGTCTCAGAATTGGTGCACTTTAGAGTTTGTAGGGGGCATCCTGTGTTTATTGGTCAACTGGTTGCTATGGCCTGTAGGCCCTCCCAGGGCAGTTGCTATGCTCTACAGGTCGCTATTAACATAAAGCAAGTCTAGAACCCAATCCTAACTTCTGATTGATTCCTTGCCACATGTAGGATATCTGACCTCCTAGCGACCAGGGCAGGTCCAGCAAGGTCAGAAGGCCGGAACCTCAGCAACATGTGCTGAGTCAGAGGTCTACATCTTGCAGGGTCTTTTCTGCAGCCTGTCTTGGCTGCCAAATCAGGGGACTGCATGAGGGTCTGGTCCCTTCACTACACACATGAACTGTAAGTCATCTGAGAGTGGGGGAAGTGTGTGTGTGTGTGTATGTGTGTGTGTGTGTGTGTGTGTGTGTGTGTAAGTGCTTGCCTAGCATTCTAGAGCTCTAAGTTAAATACTCAGTATCAAAGACAGAAAATATCAACTTCATTCATAAAATGTACCATCTGGAATACTTTAAAATGAAAGGTCTCACTGATGGTGGCACATGCCTTGAATGCCAGCCTTGAATCTCAGCACTCTTGAGACAGAGATAAGTGTATCTCTGAGAGTTAGAGGCCAGGCCTGGTCTACAAAGAGAGTTATAGGACACCCAGAGTTACACAAAAAGAAACCCTGGGTGGGTGAAGGGGACAAAGAAAAAGGAAAGTTCTCTAATCTCTTCCCTCCTGCCTCACAAGATATCCCTTGTTAGAAGTGTGTTTTGGTTTTCTCATTTGTTTCCTCTGTATGCATTACACTATATATTAAACAGTTTCTCAAATATTGTTGACACATTGTATATTGTACTAATTATATATTAAAATAATCAAGAATGCTTTTTAGAAAAGCAGGCTTTCTGGCTCTACTCTAGAGGTTGTCTTTCTATACAGACGTGGATGGCCAGGAATGTAGACCAGGCTGACCTAGAACTCACAGAGCTCCACCTGCCTTTTCCTCTAAAGTGAGTGCTGGGATTGTAGGTATATTCCTCCTAAAGGTCAAGAATTCCTTGTATCTGCTTTGGGCTGGGTGTGGTGGAGCAAGCCTTTAATCCCAGCACTCTAGTGAGTTCCAGCCAACTAGAGCTACACAATGAAACCCTGTCTTAAGAAAATGGGCTTAAGATAGGATAAGATTTCCACTTCTCTTAAACAATGAATGATTTAATTAACCACAGTAAGTCTTAGTTTCCTCATTTGTGAAATTAGTATAAAAGCATCTACATCATAGAACTGTTGCAAAGATTAAATATAAAGGCTGGAGAGATAGCCCAGTGGTTAAGAGCACTGGCTACTCTTCCAGGGGACCTGGATTTGATTTCCATCAGCTGCATGGGACTCACAAGTGGTTCCTGTCTGACCAGTACAGGCACCAGGCATGCATATGGTACACAAATATACATGCAGAAAAGCTGTGCAGGTGGTGCATGCCTTTAATTCCAGCACTCTGGAGGCCTAGATAGACAGATCTTTGAGTTAGAGGCCAGCCTGGTCTACTGAGCAAGTTCAGCAAAAACCCATATCACAAAATTAAAATTTTTAAACATTAAATATGTAATTATATAAAACATAAAGCATAATTTATTATACATGTAAGCATTCAGTCTAATAAGAGTTAAAGTGTATAATGCTTACTATATGTAAGACATGATTCTAAACATTTTAATAGATTAATATATTGAATGCTAGAATTCATTGCTTCTTGCAGAGACCTTAAGTATTAATTAAACTTCACATGTGAAAAGAGCTATTAAGGAAAAAAAATCAGATGATGCAGAAACAGAAGGGAGATCAGACAGGGACTAACCAGCCACAGGCCAACATGGGGGTCCTCAAGGCCCTGGCTGACAGGAAGAAATGCCCCCCCCCATGCAGTTATGCTTAGTCTGGGGCTAGCCAGCCAGGATCCTAAAGGCCCTGGCTGGAGGAAGACATTCATAGGTCTGCCCGGTGCCCATTATAGTAAACAAATGTGTGATGGAGAAATGGGAGAAAAAAAGAAGCAGAATGGTTCACACACTGTGGAAAGACTAGAAAGGAAGAAATGAAGATGGTGAAGAGTAGGCTGATGGGGAGGTCTGCTTGCCACTTGGGGCCATGGTGATGTCTGGGCCAGGCTTCTGTCAAAGGCCATGTCTGGATCCCCGGTCCTACAGCAGCCAGGGTGTGTGTTTATGTCCATGGCTCCTGTTGTCATTGAGGGCCTTACTGATTCCAGTGGTCTGGGCTGCCACCTGCAGCCACGTTGGGGATTCGAGGGCTATGCTCCCACTGGAACCATGCCAATCTGGGTGGCTTTCACTGCCACCTGGAGCCATGATGACAACTGGTCCCAGGCTGCTGCTGAGGACTATGTCTGGGTCCATGATCCTACCACCCGAGGTCTTTGTTGATGTCTGTGGCCCATGTTGCCACCAAAGGCCACATAAAGCCTGGGGTCTAGGCTGGCCCAAGTTGCCACTAGAGCCCACAGAAGGTCTGGGATCTGGGCCACAGCCTGCAGCCTTGTTAGAATCTGGAGGCCATGCCACAGTTGAAGTCATGTAGATCTGAGTGGCCTGTGCTGCTATCCAATACCATAGTGATGTCCAGGTGAGAGCTGCAGCTAAGGGCCATATCTGGGTCCATGGCTGTATGCAGTCAGGGTCTGTGCTGATTGATGTGCAAGGTTCCTTTTACCATAGAAGACCACGCAGACACCTGAGGTCTGGGGCCATGTTGGTGCCTGAGGGCCAGACTGCCACTGGGACCCCATGCTGATCTGAGTGGCCTGTGCTGCTACCAGGGGCAATGGTGACATTCAGACTTGGATGCTGCCAAGGACTATTTCTGGGTCTATGGTTCTACCACAGCTAGGGTGTATGCTGAAGTCTGAGTCCCTTATTGCCATCAAAGGTCACATAGAAACCCAGGATTGGGGCCCAACCTGAAGTCTTGGTGGCGTCCAGGGGTCCATGGTGCCACCAGAACCATCTCAACCTTAGTGACTAGTACTTCCACTCAAAGCCCGGATGTTATCCAGTCCCAAGGTGCTGCCAAGGGCCATGTCTGGATCCGTAGTCTAGCTGTAGCTAGGGTCCATGTTGATATCTATAGCCTGTGTCACTTCAGGGGGCCTGGGGAACCTGAGGAAATCAAGAGGGCCATGCTGAGCTGGCCCCTTTCTTTGCTGGCCCAGAGAAAGCTGACCTTGCCTCTTGCTGGACACTGAAGCAAGAGAGCTGACCCCTGCACTCAAGAGAGATGGCCCCCACCCCTTACCACAGATAAGGGTGAACTGACCCCGAGGGCAGGGGTGTAGGGAAGCTGCTCCACCCCCTCACCCAGTGGCTCAGACTGACCTCAGTTACCACCCAGGCCCACCCTAACATCTACTCCATCTAGGACCTACTGGAGCTCCTGAATGAACTTATCCTGTGGAACAACACCAGCAGGATCTCTAAGACTCCAGGTGGCCACAGGATATCCCAGAGGAGTTCTGATGAGGATCCAGGGATGAGGGTGTACCAGAAACCAGGGGCCTTGAACAAGACCAGTGACTCATTGCAATGAACATTTGCTAGTAAAGCTGAAAAG